CTCTGAAGTTGGAAAACAGCAATATAAGGAAGTCCGAGAAGATTGGTTCCCTGAAATTGAACAGTCAGAAGGTCTGAAGTAGTTGAAAATGGAGCAAGCGAAACCAATAGAAGATCAATTCTCCAAGCTGCATCCATGCTTTCCAATAAATACCAGTATTGGGATCATAGGAGCAGGTCCTAGTGGGATATCTGCTGCTTATGCGTTAATCAAGCTTGGTTATAATAATATAACCATAGTAGAGAAGCATCACACTGTAGCTGGAATGTGTGAATCCGTTGATATACGAGGTAACAAAATGATGTTTCCATTTTTTCCATTCAGGTTAATTGCTATGTATGTTAATATAATATGTATATATATATATATATATATATTGCAGGAAAGGTGTATGATTTAGGAGGCCAAGTTCTTGCTGCAAACAGTGCACCAGTCATATTTCACTTGGCCAAAGAGATTGGTGCTGAAATGGAAGAGATGGACTCCCACAAGCTCGCCCTCATTGACAGTTCTACAGGGAAGTATCGCGATATTAAAGTTGCCGATGATTATGTCTCTGTGATCGCCCTCACGTTAGAACTTCAGGTCAGTTGTTGCTTTCATAGTTGTTTCCTGACCTTTCCATTTTAGGAATCAGTTTTAAGAACCCGCTTTATTTTTCCGCCAGGACAAGGCTAAGGCTTCAAATCGAATCGGCGTTCATGCTGTGAGCGACTTGGCAGCAGATTTGACACCAACCTATCTCGAGGCTCATGGATTTAAATCTGTTCCACAGTCCGTAGCTTATGGATACACTGCTTCTGGTTACGGATTCAGTCAAGACATGCCTTATGCCTACATTCATGAGTTCACTAGAACTTCAATGGCCGGAAAAATACAACGTTTTAGAGGTGGATACACGAGTTTTTGGGAGAAGATCAGTAAACATCTTCCCGTTAAAGTCCTTTGTAATACTGAAGTATTGGCAGTAAAGCGTAATGATAATGCTGTTGGTGTCAGCATTAATGTGAAAAACATTAAAGGAGAATCTGAAGTTATGGAGTTCGATAAGATTATCATCTCAGGTGCTTTCCCTTTCAAGAATGGGAAAACATATAGATCTCCTGTTTCGAATCATACAGGTTTGTCAAAATCTTTAGACTGGTAAAAAAAATTCTTTTCCACAAGAGGCTAACACCAGGTAGTTTTGTCACAGAAAACGAAACCCAAGTGATGGATTTGAATGATGTTGAAAGGGAGCTCTTCAGTAAAGTAATAACAATCGACTACTACACTACAGTCTTGAAAATCCAAGGGCTAGAACATATGCCTGTTGGTTTTTATTACTTTGGTGACTACATGGACGATCCTGCAACAATTGGACATCCGGTTGCAATGCAGAGATTTTATGCCGATTCCGACATATTCTTGTTCTGGTCATATGGCAACTCCCTGGATATTCAGGGACCAACTGTCCGTGAGCTTGCAATAAAAGTAGTTGAAACCATGGGAGGACAAGTCGAGCAAGTTGTTTTACAACGACGGTTCAAGTATTTCCCTCATGTTTCTAGTCAAGGTATGCAAAATCACCTGCTGCTAGATCATTGAACTCACTCCATATTGATGCTTATATGTTCATTTTACTACAGATATGAAGAATGGATTTTATGAGCGCTTAGAATCTGAACTTCAAGGTAAAAGGGATACTTACTACGTCGGTGGTCTTATGGCATTTGAGCTTACAGAGAGAAATTCTTCTTATTCGATGGCCCTGATCTGCAAGCACTTTGCAAACAACAATTCCTCACCAGTATTTCCTTATGTTAAGGTAATATATGTTGTTATGGATCAGTAACTGTATGTTCTAAATTAGATGTAAACCGATACCTGATCCATATTGTGATTTTCTTTGCAGAGTTTATTTCCATTTCAATCATACAATGGGAATCAAAATCTCAACCAACTAGGTGAACACCCTGGAGTTGAATTCCCTGATCTTAGTACACTTGACGGCTATTTGAAGCACTGGGGAACTCGTGAAGTCACTCGAAGCAAAACGCTTTATACCTGGATTAATGAAGAAGGGGCAGCAGTAGGCACGAGGACTTATGCCGAACTTAATGCTAATGTTTCTTTTATCGCTTACAAGATCTTGACAAGCAAAAAACCAGTCATCAAGCCCGGTGACAGGGTTCTCTTAGTGTATGTTCCAGGTCTGGACTTTGTCGATGCATTTTTTGGGTGCTTAAGAGCAAAGGTGTTGCCAGTTCCAGTTCTTCCTCCAGATCCTATGCAAAGAGGTGGACAAGCACTTTTGAAGATTGAAAATATATCTAAGTCATGTGGTGCAGTGGCAATATTATCAACCATTGTCTATCACTCTGCAGTTCGAGCAGGTTTCGTGAAGCAAATGATCTCGTTGACTGGGAAAAATGGAAAATCTTCAGCTAAGTGGCCTAACCTTACTTGGTTGCACACAGATTCATGGATCAAAAACTTCAAGAAAGCTATTCCAGATGCCATAGTTGATCCATCTGAACCGAGCCCCAGTGATCTATGCTTTTTGCAGTTCACATCTGGGTCGACTGGTGATGCTAAAGGAGTCATGATTTCTCATGGTGGGCTCGTCCATAATGTGAAGTTGATGCGAAAGAGATACAAGAGCACCTCGGAGACTGTTTTAATCAGTTGGCTTCCTCAATATCATGACATGGGGCTAATTGGGGGACTTTTTACTGCTATGGTTAGTGGTGGATCAGCAGTACTGTTTTCCCCGATGACATTCATCAGAAATCCCCTCCTGTGGCTTCAAACTATGAGCAAATACAAGGCAACTCACAGTGCAGGGCCTAATTTTGCATTTGAGCTCGTGGTTCGAAGACTAGAGTCTGACAAGGATAAGGCTTGGAACTATGATCTTTCTTCCCTTATTTTCCTAATGATTGCTGCTGAACCAGTGAGGCAACGAACTCTGAAGAGGTTCATTGAGCTCACTTATCCATTCGGCCTTTCACAAGAGGTGATGGCACCCGGTTATGGCTTGGCCGAAAACTGTGTGTTTGTAAGTTGTGCATATGGAGAAGGGAAACCCATCTTGGTGGATTGGCAGGGAAGAGTTTGTTGTGGTTATACTGATCGAGAAAATCAAAATGTTGACATCAAAATAGTTGATCCAGAGACTAGTGTGGAGCTTGAAGAAGCCGGAAAAGAAGGAGAGATATGGATTAGTAGTCCAAGTTCTGGCATTGGGTATTGGGGTAGAGAAGAACATAGCCAGCAAACTTTCAGAAACGAGCTTAAGAATCACGCTGGAAAAAAATACACAAGAACTGGAGACTTGGGACGAATCATTGATGGGAAATTGTTCATCACTGGAAGAATCAAGGATCTGATAATTGTAGCAGGAAGGAATATTTACTCGGCAGATGTAGAAAAGACAGTTGAAAGCTCATCTGAAGTTCTTCGGCCTGGTTGTTGTGCTGTCATTGGTGTTCCAGAGGATGTTCTATCAGAAAAAGGAATCCAAGTTCCAGATGGTGCTGACCATATTGGCCTCGTTGTAATTGCAGAAGTTAGAGATGGAAAACCGGTGAAAAAGGAAGTTATCGAACAAATTAAAACACGAGTTGCAGAAGAACATGGGGTCAGTGTTGCTGCCATCAAACTGATCAAGCCCAAGACGATGAGCAAAACAACTTCAGGAAAAATCAAGAGATTTGAGTGCCTCAAACAATTCAGTGAGGGAACTTTGAGCATAGTCCCGGATCCAATCTTTTCAAAGAGACCTTTGGTTCGGTCATTCACTACTGGGACTTGCGCTGAAGGAAGAACACCTCGTCAACTTCAGAGTTCTCCTATACCCGGTCCAAGATTTAGAAACAAGGACATTGTAGAATTTCTCAAAGGCCTGGTCTCCGAGCTAACCGGAATCCCTACCAGCAATATTTCTGCTGAGGAGAGCCTTGTCTCATATGGAATTGATTCCATTGGAGTTGTCAGGGCATCGCAAAAAATTTCAGATTTTCTAGGTGTGTCTGTTGGAGCAGTAGATATTTTCACTGCAAACTGCATTGCAGACTTGGCAAACTTCTCAGAGAATCTCTTAGTGAAGTCAAAACCTGGTCCTATGACGGCTTCATCCTTTCATCCCGAACCTGATCTAGATTTCGATGAGCCTTTGGAGGAAGTATCCATCCATCGCCAAGTAGGCATCTGGTCTTTACAATTCATGGCTCTTATCATTGTGTCTATCTTGTTGAGTCTACCCGCATATTTATCAGTTTCTGCATTCACGATTTTCACCTCACCAAGCCATACACCGATAGATGGAAACCAGTGGCTGGCTTATTTCGTATGTTTGGCCTTTGCTCCCCTTGTTTGGATTCTCTGTATAGCTTTAACATGTTTGAGTATATCTTTTCTTGGAAATCCTTTCTTGAGACCAAACTATGTCCTCATCCATGATGTCTCCATCTGGTCAGTTGATTTTGTTAAGTGGTGGGCACTTTACAAAGTCCAACAAATAGCCTCGAAAGTTCTTGCACAACATTTGAGAGGAACAGTGTTCTTAAATTACTGGTTTGAGATGCTTGGAGCAAGAATCGGGTCTTCGGTTACACTCGATACTATTGACATTACAGACCCATCTTTAGTTTCAATTGGAGATGGAGCTGTGATTTCAGAAGGGGCATTAATTCAAAGTCATGAGGTAAAGAATGGAATATTAAGTTTCCAAGCCATTAGAATTGGCAAGAATTCAACGGTCGGGCCATATGCAGTGATCCAAAAGGGAAGTGTATTGGCAGAAGAAGCTGAAGTATTGCCATTACAAAGGATTGATAGAAGCACTTCTGTGAATAGATCAACCAAGACTAACAGTGTCCAAAAAGTAAGTACTTTTCACTTTCAGATCTTCAAAATTAAGTTTTCTATTAGTAAACAACATAGCTCACATATTATTGTTTACCATTTCAGAGTACAGTGCTGTCAAATGCTATTCCAGATAAGACCATGTCTCAGTTCACAGGCATTTACATGGTTGGTTTCCTCAGCAGTTTCTCTGGAGCTATTGTTTACTACCTATACATTTGGCTCTCTGGAAAACCTCATTCTCTTCAACACTTTGCTTTTGTTTGCATAGCGGGAGCCTTACATTGGATTCCTTTCACTGTTATTGCATATGTTACCATGTTTGCTAGGATCTCTCGGAATCCAGCAAGCTTTGCGTTCTCACTTGCCGTCGGTTACTTAGCTCATGGCTTGATTCTCAGTTTCATTACATGTGCTTTGACTCATCTTCTTACTGAGAGACAACAGTCAAAACAATCTTATTTCAAGGTATTCATCAGACACCGAATTACTATTGCCTGTCACCATAGATTTGCCAAGCTTCTCTCTGGAACAGAGGCTTTTTGCATGTATTTACGGTTTTTGGGTGCAAAAGTTGGCCAACATTGTTCAATCAGAGCAATCAACCCAGTTTCAGATCCGGAGTTAGTTGAAATCGGTGCCGGCGTTCATCTTGGCGACTTTAGCAGAATCATCACAGGATTTTACTCCCATAGCGGTTTGGTTCGCGGGAAAGTTGAGGTGCAAGATAATGCAGTTGTTGGGAGTCAAAGCCTAGTCCTTCCAGGCTCCAGAGTAGAGAGTGATGTAATTCTTGGTGCACTTTCAGTGGCCCCTGAAAACTCACTTCTCCAAAGTGGTGGTGTTTATGTGGGATCTCAAACTCCAATCATGGTCAAGAACATTAAGCATGCTTTAGATGATCGAATAGAAGAAATGGACACGAAGTATAAGAAAATAGTAGGAAATCTTGCCTCAAGTTTAGCTGCAACCACTTTGAAGGTTAAATCAAGATATTTTCATCGAATTGGTGTTGCAGGGAATGGCTACTTGAAAATATACGGCAAGATCGAAGGATTCCCTGATCACAAGATTTTTCACCCTGGAAAGTCCTACCGTGTCCTAGTTCGACATAGCAATAGCCTGAGTGCTGATGATGATGCAAGGCTAGATGCTCGAGGTGCTGCAGTAAGAATACATCTAGATGAGACTAATGGTGTTAACACTCTGGCCCTTGACTTAACACTGAAAACAGGCAATGCATTCTATGCTCGAACCATTGCCGATTTCGCAACATGGCTTGTATGTGGACTTCCTGCAAGAGAAGAGCATGTGAAGCGAGTCCCACATATCCGAGATGCAGTGTGGATGTCCCTTCGATGTGCTAACTCGTACACTGAGCTGCATTACTATTCAAACTTTGTTCGGATTCTTCGATTCTCGGATGGGGAAGAAAGGTACGTGAAATTCAAGTTGAGACCTTGTGATGAAAGTATCAGCGAGGACTCTGGGAAGGTTGAACCCAGGGGGATTCTCCCACCAGAAACAGGTGCAATTCCGAGGGATGAAAAGGACACCCGCCCCTTACTTTTCCTTGCGGAGGATTTCCAACGCAGGGTGAAATCCGGGGGTGTTCGATACATATTCCAGCTACAAATCCGGCCTGTTCCAACAGATGAAGCCGCAAGAGATGATGCGCTTGACTGCACTAAACCATGGGACGAGACTGAGTTTCCATACATAAATGTAGGTGAGATTAACCTTGAACAAAACCTCACCCGAGAAGAAGCCGAAGCCCTAGAGTTTAATCCATTCCAAAGATGCCATGAGATCGATGTTATCCGAGCTTCCTCGTCCTCTCAGAGTGCTTCTATTGATCATGGCCGCTCCCTGATCTACGAGATTTGCCAACGTTTGAGAAACAAGGAACCACTTCCCGAGGCATGGAGAATCTTCCTAGAGCAATCTGATGTGAAAGTTGACCTGTCAGGGTGTCCAATGGCAGCAGCATTGGAGAAAAAGGACACAGGGAAAGTGACCCTGGAAAGAAACTTGTCTCAAACCTCATGGTCAATTTTCGTTCAGCCATTGTTACAGACTGTGCTTCCTTATTTCCTCCTGGGACTAGCAATCTTCGCACCTTTAACCAGCGCTCTCCACATGAAGGAATCAAAGAAATTCCCACTGCACTGGCTACTTCCACTTTTCTGGGTTTCTTCAGGTATCGCAGCTGCATTAACATGCGTGGTGGCAAAATTGGTTATCGTGGGAAAAAAGAAGGAAGGTGAAACAGTACAGATATGGAGCAAAAGGGTGTTCATGGACACCATCTGGCAAGCTTTCAGAACACTAGTCGGGGAATATTTCATGGAAATGACGAGCGGGTCCGTTTTATTCGTGCTGTGGATGAAATTAATGGGATCAGACGTTGAACCGGAGCAAGGGACATACGTGGACAGCATGGGAGCTTTACTGAATCCAGAAATGGTGAAGATTGAGAGAGGAGGATGTATCGGAAGAGATGCGTTGCTATTTGGACACATATATGAAGGTGAAGGTGGCAAAGTGAAGTTCGGGAAAATCAAAATCGGAGAAGGAGGGTTCATAGGAAGTAGAGCGGTGGCAATGCCCGGAGTAAGAGTGGAGAGTGGAGGAAATCTCACTGCACTAACACTTGCCATGAAAGAAGAGATTGTTAAGTAAAGGTTGAAGGAGCTGTTCATTGTTCTTGGGGCAGACAGTACACTGCTAGTGAGCTTATATTATAATTATGTTGTGGAAGAAGAAGATTTGCTGGTCTTTCCCAATAAATTACCAGCTCTAGAGAAGTGTAGGGATATAGTATTTTATACTTGGGTCGAATAAGCATCATAAACATACTTACAAAAGTGCTTTTTATTTATAAAAAAAAAAAAACCTGATACCAATTGCACTACATTTGCTGATGGTGTAAGTTTGTACGTCATATATTGAATAAATATTTTCATTCAAATATAACTACCATATTTTATTTATTTTAAAATTAAATAAATTAATCCCTTATAGTTCAAAATCCTGACCACTGACCAAATTTCAGTGTCATCGCCCGAGAAAGCAACATAGGTCTGTTTGTTTGGTTGTAATTGATTTTTTAAAAAATGAATTACTGAAATTTGAATTACTGGAATTGGAAAATGAATTATTAGAATTTGAATTCTAGAAAATGAATTACATTTATGGAAAACGTTTTCCGGAAAATGTTTTCCGTAAAATGAATTACATTTTTTTGAAAAACATTTGGAAAAGATGTTTGGAATTTGTTATTTAAATCTTTTTTCCACTAGTTGAAGAATTTTTTAAAAATTATTTGTTACAAATATTAAATATAATAAATAATATTATTTATCATAAAACTTAATATTATTATTTTAAAATATTAAAATAATTTATTTATTATTAAATATTATTTTTATAATTTTATTAATAAAAATATTAATTTTTGTATATTTTAGTGAAATAAAATATTATAAATTATATTAATTATTTATTAAACTAATAGTGTTATATTATAGTTTAAAAATATTAATTAGTATATTTTAAATATCTTTATTAAAATATTATTTAAATATATAAATAATATTATTCATTATTAAATATAAAAAAAATTATTATATATTATTAAAATAAAAATATAATATCTTATATTATTATAATATAATTGATTATTTTATATAATATTAAAAATATTATATTATATTATTAAAAATATTAATAAATAAATAAATAATATTTTGATGAAAATAATATTAAAATATTTTACTAATATTAAATTCATAAAATCAAATTATTTTGAGTATTTATTCTTTGAAGTGAAAAGTTCGGAAAATGACTTACAGAAAATGAATCCGTAAGTCATTTTACAAAAAACACAAAAGAAATTCTGTTAATTTCAGATGAAAAATAGAAAATATTCTTATTATGCCATATATTTTTTCCTAAAGAATCTCATCAAGCAAATGAATAAATTATATTAAAACATAAAATTAATTGTACAATATAATTAAGTAAAGCAACCACTATGATTCATGAACATGATCACAATGTTATTCTGGGTATTTTGGCACCAAATCATATCTTTGATAACTTTTTCCACCGACATTTCTGATTTTTAAATTCATAATTTCTCAAGCAACAAAACCCATTTGATCTGTGATTATTATTTTTTAAAAAGAGAAAATCACCTCAGTGACCAAAAATGCCTTATAATATACGATTTTAACTAATTTTTTTTTGGATTTGCCAAAATGACCAACAAAATCGCAATGCGAAATAAAAATCGCAACGCGATCTCCAGAATCGCAAATCAGTTCCCAGAATCGCAAATCAGTTCCCAGAATCGCAATGCGATAGTACAAATTCGCATTACGATTTTCCATAATCGCAACGCGAACATATAAATCGCAACGCGATTCTGACTATCGCAACGAGTATCCGTAAAATTGCAGCTCGTATCCGTAAATCGCAACGAAAATATGTAAAATCGCAACGCATATCCGTAAATCGCAACGAGAATACGTAAATCACAACGCATATCTGTAAATCGCAACGAGAATACGTAAATCGTAATGCGTATCCGTAAATCGCAATGCGAATACGTAAATCGCAATGCGAATACGTAAATCGCAACGAGATTCTGACTATCGCAATACTGAATTTCAAATTCGCAACTCGATTTCTGAATTCGCAACAGGTTTTAATTTCTCAACACAAATGTTTTGGGTATATAACTACGCAGCAACAGCAACTCATAACCTAAATCCCTAAAAAGCAACTCATTCCATCTCCATCTATCACTCTCTCCGGCGACATCCGTTCCTATATCCAACGACATCCTTCCCCATCTGGAAACATGTTTTAGTTTCGCAGCTCGTTTGTTTAGTAAATTAATTTACAATAATGAAATCATCTAATGTTGATCATGTTTGGATATATTTATGTTTTGGAGGGTCATGGGAGAATGTTCATGGTGTTTTACAACATATGCCTTTACCCATGAATCTTCAACTAAAACTGTCATTAAAAAAGTTAACTTATGAAACTCTAATGTTACGTGTTGCAAAGAAATTGAATTTAGAGCCCCTAAGTGGATTTAGGCTATCTTATCAGAGAAATGATAAAGTTTATTTGTTAACCGACAATGAAGATGTTGAACGATTCATTGCTTACATTAGTGTTTCAAGTGATGATGTTACATTGCATGTTGTTGAACCTAGAAGTAGTGAAGTTGGGTCAGTAACGGGTAGTAATCAACTAAATTTTTCAACCCCAGTTTATGGTGCTCAAAATTTAATGGTTCCACCACAATTTCATCACCAAGCAAATATTGTTTCACCACATTTCCAATACCAAACACAATCTCAAAACCCACAACCTTTCCCTAATCCAAATCCCAATCAACTTTCAGCACCAAATTCCGATTTTCGTATTGACCAGTTAGACGATGATGAGCCAACAGAAAAAATTGTGAGTACTAGTCAGTATTCGAAATTTGATCTTGGTCAATACCCGGACTTTGATCTTGGTCAATACTCGGATTTTGATGATTTTTTAGAAGAAGAAACAGACCCTGCGTGTAATGATTTTGATATTGGTCAATACCCGAATTTTGATGATGAAACAGCTGTTGCCGAGGAAGATGTTGTTGATGATAATGAGGAGGAAGTTACGACTGTAAACGAACATGTTGAACATCCATTTTGTAATTCATATAACACTGAAGAAGAAAAAGAAGAAGAAAAAATCCCCAAAGAAAAGTCCCCGAAGAAAATGCCACGGGAGTATAACTGGAATATGCCAGAATTACTTCAGATACCGGAAGAAGAGTTAGTAAAGATAGCAGTTGATTGTTACACAAAAATTATTCGTATCAAGAAAGATGATTGTTTTGATACAAAGGAAAACTTGAAGATAGCTTTGTATACAAAATGTGTGGAAGATGGCTATCAACTAAAAGTTAACAAATCAAGCAAAGATCGTTTCGAAACAAGGTGTATGATTGACAAAAACTGTATGTGGCGTATGATTGCAAAGAGGATAAAAGATTGCGAAATGTTTCAAGTTAGGACTTTTATTGATAAACATACATGTTCAAGAACCCAAGTTTTTCCTCACCATAGACAGGCAAACAAAAAGGTGTTGGGTGGTTTTCTGGCTGAGTTAATGTTTTTGAATGGTAGGGGATATCGGGGACATGAAATTATGACTGACATGAATGCTCGGTTCAAGATTAGTATCTCATATTCTCAAACTTGGAGAGCCAAATGTTATGCCTTGGAATTGTTGAGGGGGTCGCCAGAAGCATCGTTTGCCCAACTGCCGGCTTATTGTCACAATTTAAAGCTGAAAAATCCTGGGTCGGTAACTCATATCAAAACAGATAGAGATGGACGCTTTGAGTTGTTGTTTATCGCCATTGGTGCTGCGGTTAGTAAATCAATATAATTTTGTTGACTTATTTTTGTTAGTTAAATGCATTTCACATTTAAATGATTATATTTCTTGTGTATATGATTTTGTAGATTCGTTCGTTTATTAATTGCATGCGCCCAGTTATTATAGTTGACGGAGCACATTTAAAAGGTCGATACCTTGGAGTAAACTTATTAGCAGTAGCCATGGATGCTAACAATGGGATACTGCCAATAGCTTACGGGGTTGGCAAATCTGAAACCTCTGATTCATGGACATGGTTTATGGTGCATCTTAGGGATTGCATAGGTCCTATTAGCAATCTGACAATCATATCCGATAGGGCAAACTCAATTGACAACGCTGTTAGAAGGTGTTTCCCAGATGCTTTTCATGGACTTTGTGGTGTTCATTTGTATAGAAATCTAAAATCAAGGTATGCTGGTATAAAAAATCACAAATGGACATACTGGAAGGCTGTAAAAGCTTATCGGGAAGTGGATTTTAATAAGCATATAAACTGTTTAAGACGTGTTTTGCCTCAGTGTGCTCAAACACTAGAAGATGTCGGGTTTGAAAGATGGTCAAGAGTACATCAACTTGGAGCAAGATATGGTTTCATGACGTCTAATAGTGCAGAATCAATCAACGCTCTAAGTCGTCATTCCCGAAAATTACCCATTACTATGTTAATGGAGTTTTTTCGAGCCTCTATTCAATAGTGGTACTACAAGAAAAGAAACCATGCAGGTATTATTTCTTTAAATTCGTAACTTATCATATATTTTACTAAGTATTATTTATTTAAATTTACAGGAACATTGGAACATCGTGTTACACCATGGACAGAAAAAAAGATAACGAAACGTGTTGTGAAGTCAACGTCATGGAGAGTTGAACCATGTTCAAACACTTTGTTTGAAGTACTGGATAATAACTTAAATGGGCTTATCGATCTAAATGCAAAGACGTGTAGTTGTATGAAATGGCAAACATCTGGTTATCCGTGTGGCCATGTTATAAAAGTTTCTCTTCATCTAAACCAAGATGATTCAAGCACATACGCTATGGATTGCTACACTACAGAAGTATATCGACAGACTTATGGCAAGATTGTCTACCCTATTCCATATCCTTCTGAGTGGGACATACCAGATGACTTACAAACAGTTTTGCCACCAGCCATGGACAGAAGGCTTCCTGGCCGACCAAAAAGTCACGATCGTATATCGTATAAGGGTGAAGAGAAGAAGAGATCGACATGTAGTCGGTGCAAGGAAAGTGGACATACAAGGTTGACAT